GCTAGCGTTACAGCGCAAAGCAGATTCACTGATTTATAACTTATAAGCAAGAAATTAAACCACGTCTCAGATATTTTAAAATACAGTGGCTTTTTTTGAGCAGTGAGAAAAGTTTGAATCGATGTAGAATAGTTAAAACCCTGCTGAGGAGACTAATGTGGTAAACTAACTTAAGCTGGTTTATGTTTGTTTGTTTATTGCTAGTCTAGCTGATGGATTTCCTAGTTATTAGTGTGATAAACAAATATGATATTGTAGGTTAAGCAGCCAGGAAAAGACACTTGATACTGAGGCATTGCTGCTTTACCATTGTATTTTGATTTATTCATATTTAATACTGACACTGTATTTTAAATACAATTGAATTACCATGGTATATTTATCAAATACAAGCACTACATGTATGAAGTTAAAAAGAACAGCGTTTATTTAAAATACAAATATTTTCTAACAATGATCATGTGACACTGAAGACTGGAGTAATGATGCTGAAAATACAGTTTTGATCACAGAAATAAATTACAGTTTAAAGTATATTAAAGTAGAAAACCGTCATTTTAAATTGCAATAATATTTCACAATATTACAGTTTTTTTCTGTATTTCTAATCAAATAAATGCAGCCCTGATGAGCAGAAGTGACTTCTTTAACTGTCACCCGTCCCCTCTGTGGGACGCTTAAGTTTACTTCACTATATTACAATTAAATCCTAATCTAAGCATGACAAACTATATATCGTTGGAAAGGTCTAAGACTCCTAAATAATTTTTTACTAAAACATTGGTAAAATATCTATGTAGGACAAGTAATAGATTAATTTATGACAAGAGTGCACCTCAAAAATCTACATCATAACAGGAGTTCTGACCTTTGTCAAAAAAAGTCATCTTTGTTGCCTTTTTCTCGATCACACTTTAGAAATCATCAGAAATTATATATCAATTGAAAACTTTAAATCTCAAAATTCATCCTTTGAAACCCATTTTAAAATCAAACATTGCATTACCATGAAAATGGTACATCAATATCATGTTACAAAATGTTTTCGTTCATGAATTATAAAAATGTGTCACCCGTCCCCTCTGTGGGACGCTTAAGTTTACTTCACTATATTACAATTAAATTCTAATCTAAGCATGACAAACTATATATTGTTGGAAAGGTCTAAGACTCCTAAATAATTTTTTACTAAAACATTGGTAAAATATCTATGTAGGACAAGTAATAGATTAATTTATGACAAGAGTGCACCTCAAAAATCTACATCATAACAGGAGTTCTGACCTTTGTCAAAAAAAGTCATCTTTGTTGCCTTTTTCTCGATCACACTTTAGAAATCATCAGAAATTATATATCAATTGAAAACTTTAAATCTCAAAATTCATCCTTTGAAACCCATTTTAAAATCAAACATTGCATTACCATGAAAATGGTACATCAATATCATGTTACAAAATGTTTTCGTTCATGAATTATAAAAATGTTAGTTTGGATAGTGCACTTCCACGTCTGTGTTCAAAAATGTGAGTGACAGTTAAAGGGTTAAAAAACATTACAAATCTTACTGATCCCAAACTTTTGCACTGCAGTGTATACACACACACACATGAATCGTCGATGTTTCTTACAGGAATCATCATGCAACACCAGGAGCATCACATCATGTTCATGGACTTCTGTGAGGACAGACACTGTCTGCTGGAGGACGATGTGAGTATTTCAGATGCTTTTTCTTGTTCAGAGCCATTCAGTGCATCAACAGATTCAGACGGTAAAGTCATCTTGATTCATGTATCCAGATCTTTGATTATTAGTATGATTTGCTTCACATTCTGACCCAGAACTGCCCAGTTAAACGGGTGGAGACCGTCTGATTTACTTTTTATGCTTACTTGTATTTATTTATCAGAAGTATTTATCTAAAGCGACTCATAAGTGAGGAAAATCACAGGCAATTTGTCATAATAAGAGCCAATAATATTTACAGTATATAATATTGGCTATATATTATATTTAACGTTTTTAACTTAATATTTAAATAATTCAACAACAAAGTATGTACACGGTTCAATTCTACATTTTAATCAGCCCTAATTCAATAATGCGTTTTCATCAACCCTGTACTGTTGATTTAAAATTATATAAATATGAATAAGTTATGAAAAGTGTAATTTTTGGGCAAACTATTCCTTTAAATACACTAGTGAGAGTGAAAGATTTTTGTCAGCCAAACCTAAAATATTTATTTGAATGTATTTACAGTGGGTACGGAAAGTATTCAGACCCCCTTAAATTTCTCACTCTTTGTTATATTGCAGCCATTTGCTAAAATCATTTGTTAATTTTTTTTCCTCATTAATGTACACACAGCACCCCATATTGACAGAAAAACACAGAATTGTTGACGAGTTTTTAATTTAATATTTCGTTTCACGGTTCTCTGATGTGGGTTAATGATATGCTCGGCAACAACTGAATTATTTCATCTTTTTGTTTTTCAGAAAATATTTAATTAATTTTTTTCTTTATTATTTATTTAAATTTTTATCCTTTGATTAATCATTCACGTTTCATCACCCCTGTCCTATGGGTTTGAAACAGCGGGCATTTTTAAATTAATATTTCAATAACGGCACCTTTGCAAGTTCACTGTAAATGACGAGCCGGTAAACAAATTATATATTTTTTTAAAGAAAGTGTTTAATTTAGAATTTATTATTTGTTTATTTATTTAGCATTTTTATGATTTAATCAATTCTTTTTTTAGAAATTCATTATTTGTTCTATGTTTATTTATTTTATTTAGCATTTTTATGATTTAATCAATTATTTTTTAGAAAGTGTTTAATTTATATTTTTTTTAGTTGTATTTATTTATTTACTATTTATCATTTTTATAATTTAATCTTTTTAGAAATTTAATTTTATTATAATGTATGATTTTCATTTATTTAGCCTTTTTATGATGTAATAATCTTTTCAACTCCTGCTTCAACCCTGTCCTATTAATAATTTAATAATAATAGTAATTTATGCATTTAGCAGACGCTTTTATCCAAAGCGACTTACAGTGCATTCAGGCTATACCTTTTTTACCAGTATGTGTGTTCCCTGGGAATGGAACCCACGACCTTTTGCGCTGCTAACGCAATGCTCTACCACTGAGCCACCCACTTAAGCAACAACGTGAGTGTGAGTCAATTTCGGATGAACTATTCCTTTAAATTGACTATTGAGAGTGTGAAAGGGAGGTTTTCAAAAGGTTCACTGAGCCAAATGCACCCATAGTTGAGGAAACACTCTTGAATTCAAAATTTCATTCTTGAAACATTTTGAAAATCCTGTACTGAGAGTCATGAAATGAATGGATGTGATTTGTGGAGTTTTTCAGGGGTATGACCGCAGACGTGGGTGGGGGAGTGAGGGGTAATTTTAACTATGAGCGAGAGCTTAAGAGAGAGCGAGAGAGAGAGAGGCTGCGCCGTACGGGTGAGCGGCGGGATCCGTTAGCAGGGCTTTTCTTTGCGTTCGGGGATCTTGGCTCGCAGCCCAGCTGGCGTTTTTTGTAATCAAGGCATGATTCGGGACTCCATGCGCTTCTTCCCCGAGCCGCGTCGGCTGCCTGCCGTTTGGAAGGATCCCAGATTTCCCTGCTGACATGAACAGAGCTGTGAGTGCCACTGTTTCTCATTCTTCCACTAGCTTTTTCTCACTCCCACTCTTTTGTACACATCTTTGCTCTTCTCTGGATCCCGCTCGTTCCTTTTTCAGCAGTCTGGATGAGGATGGTAGCTGCAACTAAGCTTGCCGTCAGATGTGCGTTTGTCTTACGCTCCCCAGAAGAACGAGGCCTGGGTTTGGGCACGAGAGCGTCTGTCAGCTGACAGTTAGAGCCGTTGTGTTGAGTTATTTGACATGTGATCCGAAATTAATCCCAGTTCTCCACACACTGACTCGGCTTGCCAGATTTATAGCATTATTTTACATTTGTGGGAGGAAATGTACCATATCTGTCTAGTTCTGATGCATCAAATTTATATTTTTAATGCAAAAACATCATTAGTTCTGATTAAATCTATCTTCTATGAGTAGTTGAGTGCGGTGTTACATGCATCTAATACTATTTTAAACATTTCTCCAAATTATTACTGGGGCTCGACAAACACTACCACTGCTGTTCATACGGGACTGTTTGTTCTGATCATTCTCAAATGTAGAGATTCAAATATCACATAGATGTAAGCATGCACTCTTTTTTTGACTTGAGACAATAAGAAAACCCCCAATTATCCTAGAAACACCCTAGCAACAGCACTTTTTTTCAGTTTTACATTCTTATGATTTCAGCAATTTTCAGTGTTATATTTTTACTGTTTTAATTGATCAAATATGTAGTTTTATTTAGCATTTTTATGATTTAATCAATTATTTTTTAGAAAGTGTTTAATTTATATTTTTTTTAGTTGTATTTATTTATTTACTATTTATCATTTTTATAATTTAATCTTTTTAGCAATTAAATTTTATTATAATGTATGATTTTCATTTATTTAGCCTTTTTATGATGTAATAATCTTTTCAACTCCTGCTTCAACCCTGTCCTATTAATAATTTAATAATAATAGTAATTTATGCATTTAGCAGACGCTTTTATCCAAAGCGACTTACAGTGCATTCAGGCTATACCTTTTTTACCAGTATGTGTGTTCCCTGGGAATGGAACCCACGACCTTTTGCGCTGCTAACGCAATGCTCTACCACTGAGCCACCCACTTAAGCAACAACGTGAGTGTGAGTCAATTTCGGATGAACTATTCCTTTAAATTGACTATTGAGAGTGTGAAAGGGAGGTTTTCAAAAGGTTCACTGAGCCAAATGCACCCATAGTTGAGGAAACACTCTTGAATTCAAAATTTCATTCTTGAAACATTTTGAAAATCCTGTACTGAGAGTCATGAAATGAATGGATGTGATTTGTGGAGTTTTTCAGGGGTATGACCGCAGACGTGGGTGGGGGAGTGAGGGGTAATTTTAACTATGAGCGAGAGCTTAAGAGAGAGCGAGAGAGAGAGAGGCTGCGCCGTACGGGTGAGCGGCGGGATCCGTTAGCAGGGCTTTTCTTTGCGTTCGGGGATCTTGGCTCGCAGCCCAGCTGGCGTTTTTTGTAATCAAGGCATGATTCGGGACTCCATGCGCTTCTTCCCCGAGCCGCGTCGGCTGCCTGCCGTTTGGAAGGATCCCAGATTTCCCTGCTGACATGAACAGAGCTGTGAGTGCCACTGTTTCTCATTCTTCCACTAGCTTTTTCTCACTCCCACTCTTTTGTACACATCTTTGCTCTTCTCTGGATCCCGCTCGTTCCTTTTTCAGCAGTCTGGATGAGGATGGTAGCTGCAACTAAGCTGGCCATCAGACTCGCGCTTGTCTTACGCCCCAGAAGAACAAGGCCTCGGTATAGGCACGAGAGCTGATAGTTAGAGCCGCTGTGTTGGGCTTTTTGACATGTGATCCGTACGGATGAGTGGGAAGCGCAGAAAGCAGCCGCTGGAATGTTCCCTGTCCTTTTGCAGCATTGATGATTCACGCTGGCTCGTATTGCGCTGGATTTTCCTCTGTGTGTTTGTACCTCTGCGAGGTTTGTTTTGGTCCCCTGACAACCGAAGTCTCTGTGAGTTCTTTGCGCACTTCCCTTCAAAACATAATCGCTGAAAATGTTCTTTAAAGGAATCGTTCAGCCGAGTCCATTTAATCCTATGTGACTCTTTTTCTTACGTTGAACACAAAAAGAGATTTTGTAGAATGCTTAAAGGAATAGTTCACTCAAAAATGGAAATTTGCTGACAATTTACTCACTCTCAGGCCATCCGAGATTAGGATGAGTTTGTTTATTCATCAGATTTGGAGAAATGTAGCACTGCATCAGTGTCTCAGCAATGGATGCTCTGCAGTGAATGGGTGCCGTCAGAATGAGAGTCCAAACAGCTGATAAAAACATCACAATAATCCACAGCACTCCAGTCCATCAGTTAACATCTGGAGAAGACAAACGCTGAAACAAATCCATCATTAAGACGTTTCTAACTAAAATAATCCATAATAACGCTTCCTCCAGTGAAAAAGTGGTCTGGTCTGAATCAGGAGAGAAATCTGCAGAGATCAAGCACCGTTTACAAGCCAAAACAGCTCTAAACAAATATGTGGCTGGATTTTGATGTGAAAGACAACAGGAGATGGACTTTTTCACTGGAGACATGACGTGTGGATTATGGACTCGTATTTTAGCTAGAAGCAACGGTTTGAAGTTTTAAAAAAAAAATGTCTTGATGGATTAGTTTCAGCTTTTGTCTTCTCCAGATGTTAACTGATGGACTGGAGTGCTGTGGATTATTGTGATGTTTTTATCAGCTGTTTGGACTCTCATTCTGACGGCACCCATTCACTGCAGAGCATCCATTGCTGAGACACTGATGCAATGCTACATTTCTCCAAATCTGATGAAGAAACAAACTCATCCTAATCGTAGATGGCCTGAGGGTGAGCACATTTTCAGCAAATTTTCATTTTGGCCGAACTCTTCATTTAAGTCTTGTTATGCATAGTTAAGATGCAATTATAATTCTACCCTACACTATATATTCCAAGTCTTCTGAAGTGATAGGAATGTACTGATGTTTAAGTGGTTATTCACTAAAAAAATCCCTTTTGCTGTAGCTCTTAAATGTCATCTGCAGTTGGACTTGATGAAATATGTCACATTTTCAGCAAATAATGACTTATATTTTAGAGATCAATCACACGGCTTCAAGATGGGGCTTTTATGTCAATTTGTGCAGCTTTTCTGTAAAAAAAAAATCACCATCCACTTCCACATTTTTTGCTTTCATGTTTCACAGAGGAAAGAAAGTCAAATGGGTTTGAAACAGCATGAGCGAGTAAATGATGACTGGTTGTTTATTATGGTCGGCACCCACAATAAAGTGGTTTTTAGGAAAATCCCTTTTGCTGTAGCTCTTAAATGTCATCTGCAATTGGACTTGATGAAATATGTCACATTTTCAGCAAATAATGACTTATATTTTAGAGATCAATCACATGGCTTCAAGATGGGGCTTTTATGTCAATTTGTGCAGCTTTTCTGTAAAAAAAAAATCACCATCCACTTCCACATTTTTTGCTTTCATGTTTCACAGAGGAAAGAAAGTCAAATGGGTTTGAAACAGCATGAGCGAGTAAATGATGACTGGTTGTTTATTATGGTCGGCACCCACAATAAAGTGGTTTTTAGCCACATTTGAATTATTAGTCTGCATGTTTTTTCCCAGGCATCTTGGTCCGGTCCCACATATGTCAATATGGTTCAGTGTGCTTAGTGAAACAGGAATGCTGGGAACCTTAACAAAGTTAAGATGTTTGGTGTCATCTGAAGCAGGCCTTATTCTGCTGATACCACTCAGACTCCCTTAAAAATCACATTGCAATGAATGTGAATGTTCATTTATTTTACTTGGATAAGGTAAGAATTTTTCTAGCACCAAACATTTAGTTTTTATGTCCTAACAGCCTCTGCTTTGATTCGGCAAACTCTCTCTATTTCTGTTTGTCACACAAAGTCGAGCTGCTGAATAATGAGTGGGTGTTACTATGTAATTATATGCGGTAATATGTTAATGAGCTCATGGTTGTGATGTCACAACCATGGAAATTTCTGAAGGAGATGTTTTTGCAGTTTAGTTTCAATAAATGATCTGTATCTGTGGTGGAGAATCACATTTTGATTGGAGAAATTAACTCTAAAAAAAGTCTAAAAGAGCAACAAAACTCCTGCTTACAGATATTTAGAGAAAATAGTGGAAAAAATGCTGATGCGCATATGAATGACAGCAAAAACATTAACAAAATTGATGAATTTATACCAACACATATTTTCTTATTTTGCACTCAGAATTCGAAAACAGAGCATGCACAATTGAAATAATTACTTTCCATATTGTTTTGCAGGCTTGTAGCTCGTCCATTGTGTGCTGTCACTTTAAATGCATGCAAACACTCAGTCGCAGCCGCTGCATGTGTTTCAGTGTTGAGTCATTGTATTTTACAGAGAATCTCTTCACATGAAGTGACCGCAGGGAACAGCAGCTTTAATTTCCTCTGCTTTGGACAGAAGAGGTCAAATATCAGTCTGAGAGGTGGATTTTAGCTAATAGTGATTATTTATTAAATATTTCTTGTAATGCTGTGGTTTGGCCTTAAATACAGAGTTAGACAGTTAGAATAGGAGCTCGACCCTCAGTTGCACAGTAAAATGTGACTAAATGGTCCTTTTGGTGACGTAACTTTGAGCACTAGTAGTAGAGATGCTTGTTTTAACAACCCATAATATATCTTTTGTGTTTTGTTAGAGGATGCCATCCGTGAGTCTGTGATCTGCAGCAGTATAAAAAATTAGCATGATAAAGTTTTTCATATCAGTCGATAATTATCACGATACATTTTTATATCTTTATTTCTTTGAAGTTTACATGCAGATTTTTGCTCCTAAGTGAAAGTAGTAGAAACCAGACTGTTAATTGTGGTTTTAAACTACTCTTATATTGTCAGAACATGACAAACATGTTTGTTTTTTTTCTCATGTTTTTCCTTAACAAAATAAGTAGGCCTATCTTAATAGAAACATTAATTTCTTCGTTTCGGCATTGCTATTGTTTCAAATCCTGAAGCAGGTTTGTGTTCCTGACTTTGATGACGAGTATCTTCAGCACAGTTTGCAGTGCAGGCTTCACTATTAATAACAGTACATTTTTTGTCTCTTAGAAATGCACATTTGACAGTAGCCTGAGTTGCAGACGTACATTTATGTTCATTATCAAAAACAGTAACATCTGTAAAAATTGTAACAACCTAATTTTTATACAGTATGGTGAAATTGAATTATTCTGACTGTTTTGAGTTTGATTAAAATTAACCATTGGTCTTCCATAGTAGCATACATTTAGATCATGATAACCACAGTTAAAACCTCAATACCATGGTAAAAATATAACTATAGGGTTTCTAGGTATTTGTATGAAAAACAGTAGTCTAAATAAATTTATAAACACTAGCTTAATCACAAAAAATATTGTAATTATATTCCATTACTCCTTTAATACAATTAAAGCATGTCTACATTAAAATATAATAAAATTTGACACGAATATCCCACATTTCTGCCACAATACCATGGTGCAGTTAGTATTACTGCAGTAAATCCATGGTAAATGACAGTGATTTGTAGATTGAGAAGCTTCTGACTAGAGCTGTCGCTGTGAGGGAATTTCCCTTGCGGTAATTTTGAGTGGCTCAATAGCGCGGTATGCGGTATTACCGCCATATATATAATTTGTGTGTGTATGTTACGATATAACTAACGAGGTCATATTCAGAAGACAATGAAACCGAAACCAAATAGCGTTGAAACAGGAAGTGAAGTAAACAGAAGAGAATGACAAAATAACGGTCCACATAACAGAACATAAACCTGACAATAAGATCGTTAGGCTAGTTGTAATCTGATTTTCTAATCTGACTGGACAAGATACTTTCTGTTGATATTTCCACCTGCGAGCGTTCTAGACGGCTGTCAGGCAGTGCAGTTACAGTGATGCGCCACAAGGTGGTGGGAAGGGACCGTCATTCAACTACACGTTCAAAAACGCTGATTCATTCATTCAAAGAGATGTAATGAAACACGCTGTTGAAATCATTGTAACTTTGAGCGCCACTTTAGAAGGCTCTGCTGACCAGCTATGCGTCGATGCTAAGACAGAGATTTCGCTTTCCTTGGACATGACAACCTATTTTCACAAATATATATGACTCTGCCTGGAGGACAGACGCAAGTAATCGCACGCGCTCAGTCGATCTCTCTCATTCACTGTCTGTTTAGGCTTGTTAAGTGCAAATCTACGGAGCCTCTGTACAAATCAGCATGGTACACATTGTTATCATTACTAACTTGTTTAATATTCAGTTCACATGCATGAAGTGTAAAACGAGAAGGGCATAACCTTACGAAAAAAGAAAACAAGCAAAAATCGCGACATTGCGGTTATCGCGACAGCCCTACTTCTGACTGTAACGTTGCGCACAGTGTCTCTCCTGTTTCATCAGACTCTAAACTAGTTTAAAGTCATTTGTGTTGTTCGTGAATTCAGTCACTTCACACTGGATCTCACAGCACTGTTTAGTGTCGTGTGACCGAGACTCATCAGCGAGTTAGTGTTCATTTTGTCAGATATTTTTTTATTTAGTCTTAGTGTTTAGTCAAATATAGCTTTTAGTTTTTATCATATTTAGTCAACTTGGCCTGTTTTAGTTTTAGTCAAGTTTAGACTTGTGCCGGTATTCGGTAATGCGATATATCACGGTAATGAATATGCACGATATTGTTATCGTGGGCACTTCTAAATACCGTGAATAATTATATATTACAAATTATTCTGAATTTAATGGATTTTAAGAATACTTTTCCCATCAACTGGTCAAAATGCACAACAGATTTGTGTATTTGCTATAATGTTCATCACAGCGCCAAATACTTAAATATTTAGACTTAATAGGCTATTTATTTTCAATCTTTTTTTACATTCTAAGCTGGACTACAACATGCCCTAGATATTGTTTGAAAGTGTTTTGATTCTTTATTGTTCGGTCACACTTTACATTAGGGCTTCATTAGTTAACATTAGTTAATTCATTAGTTAACATAAACTGCCAATGAAAAATTCTTCTGAACATTCATTGATCTTAGGTATTCCAATATTTAATAACACGCTGTTAAAATCGAAAGTTGCAACTGTGTTATTTAATGAGCTAACATGAACTAAGACTTGTATTTTTTAACTAAGATTAATAACTTCTATAGCAAATGTAGCTATTGCTCATTGTTAATATTAATGCATTAACTAATGTTAACTAATGAGGTCTTATTGTAAAGGGTTATTTTGCACTTTAATCGGTGTAAATCTTTTAACTTTTCTGTATTGCTTTATTGCATTTAAATGTTCAGTTATTTTTTGTTATAAGAAAAACGTTATTAAACCTGTTATACTGTATTATGACAGCACTTTTTTTTAAAACAAAATTTCAATATCGTGATAATACCGTATACCGTGATAAAAGCATTAGCAATTAATCGCAACATGAAAATCTGATACCGGCATATCCCTAGTCAAGTTCTAGTCGACTAAATGTCTGAGCATTTTAGTCTAGTTTTAATTTGCCACTGAAGACCCGAGCGCTTCAAATGAGTAGCGCCGTTTCATTCTGCTTTTGGCACATAAACATTATATCGAATGTTTGTCGAACTCTTGTTATTGTTTTATCGAGAAATTATATCTCGATGATTATCGTTATTGTTTTGTCACCCAGCCCTAGTTTGCAGGGATAAAAGCATTTTCAACCTCGAGGAATCTCTGTTTTGAGCTGAGAACTAACTCTATTCTCTCTCAAATCTCTGCAAGCCTCTTCAGATCTAAATTTACGTGTGGGAGTTGCACTGGCCTGGAGTCAGTCAGGTTATCGCACCGTAACGCTGCCGCAGGCGCTCCAGCTTTCATTTTCTCAAATAATCCACAGATACCGAGAGATCTTGATGTTCAGGTCGATGCCTGGTTTTAATGACATATAGTGAATAGGATGCTGTGCTAAACGTTTCTCTTCAGCTGTGCAGGGAAGTGTCCGTTCCCCCGGCGCGTCCAGCATGAGCCCTTTTGCCAGCTCTGCAGCCATTTAAAGAAGCTGCTGCAGTTTGGCGTGCTGTGAATGTGCTGCTGCGTCACACATGCAGGCCGAGCTTCAGAAGGAAAGCAGTTCTGTCGTAAGCAGCAAGGCCAAAATATGTGCCTAATGCATTTAAGCTGGTATTTAAAAATGATTGTGATGGTAGAAATGCATTCATTTGTATATTTAGGGCCTTCTGAAATCTGCTTTATTTTTTTCACAAATTTTAATTTGTATTTTTATTATTTATTTTCCAGTTTAAATTTTTCTGGTTTCCTTTTTTTTTTTTTTTACATTTTCCTGGTTTGTGTGTATTTAAATTTTCTTATTATTATAAATTTTTCTGGATCCCACTTTCTTCTGTTTTAATTTTCCTGTTATTTTATAGACATTTATGTCAAATTAAAGCATCTTTATTTCATTAGATTTGCTT